TAAATCAGTAAATATTAAAGCTAATTTATTCAAAATGATGGTTGCAGCATATTCTTTGCGAGGAAATACGTTTATGATAAAATTTTGGAAAATGGGCGTGGCACCGCCCACTTATGATCACGTATATGTATCTCGCTAACCGTTCTAGCAATTTGTACCAAACTCGGTATGGTTATTGTGCTTGCCACATAAAAGTAAACCATTGAAAATTGTTGAAATCGGACTAAAATTACGGCCGCTTTTCATNTTGGGAGGGGTTTATATGTACATTTGAAAATTCGCTTCAGATAATATGCTCTTTAAAATACATTTATGCAAGTTTTAAATATGCACAGTACGTAATAAATAAAAAAAAAACTTTTTAAAGTTTCATAAATTGCACTTTATTTACATAAAAATAACAAAGAACTAAAATATTTCAAAAAAGGAGGAGGTTGTTGGAATATTTTTTTCTTTTTTTATGTATGCTACCGCATACTTTTATACCCCGCGAACCGATTTCAATAATTCTTAATAAAGGGTCGCCCCGTTGTTGGAAAATTACTTGTTTAACATAAAGTTCTATAAACACAAGATGCGATCTACTTTTAAAAAGGTTTAATAAAAAGAGTTTTAATGTTGTTCATTTTGCTCGATTTCTGGTTTCTGGTTTTCGTTGGAGATGATGATTTTTCACGGTTGCCTAATTTTTTTTTTTTAACATTTCGAATACCGAAAACCCCCAACCCTTGCTAATGCACGAGGCCCAATGTTTTAAAACTTATTTTCAAAAATAGCCTTTTTTTCAGGTTGCATTCGCCATATGTTTTATTAAACAAAATTGGTTTTTGTGGCTTATGCTTGCGGAACATACAATTTTGTATCCTTCTTCGAGTTAAAATTTTGTACAACACNAAAATTTATCACATCGCGTCGTTATTTTACTACAAAAGTTAAAAAGGAGGAAAAATTGTGTGTTTTGACACTTAATCCCATCTATTCCGAAAACTAAGAGCTAATTTAATATTTTTAAGATTCTTAACCTACATAAAACATCCTCTGA